CCAGTGCTCCATCACCCTCACTGTAAATAAGGTTCTTCTCAAGTTTAAGTGGAAATTTAGGCTAAATGTCGGAAAAGATTTGCTAACTCCAAAGACAGAAGCTTTTCTAGATCTGTTTACAGATAAAGAAAACACGATTTGTCTCATCTCCATTAAATACTGCAGGAATTTCTTTTAAGACAGTGTCACTGAAAGACAATAGATCTATCGGGTTGGAGAAGATTTAACCTTGTTGAATGATTCTGCCATTGAGGATGTAGATAAAATATAATTTGTAGCTTTTCTATGTCCATTATGACCATTAGATGGCACTGCACTAATACAGCTTAGTGCTGAAGATCAGAGCGTGCAGCCAAACCTCCTTTGAAATGAAGGTACACAATTAAACTTTTTTTGTCTGTGTGTGTACTAAAAGTACTGCTTTGGGTCTCTCTGTTTAGAATCTCTGGATGTCTGTGCCAAAGGTTTTTCCTTGTCTTGAAATTAGAGAAGAATATCTTCAACCATTTAGGAGGGTGTTTGATATTTGGCAAATTATTGATTTCTGTCTCTGTCCATAAAGATAAATTAAATTAGAAATGTAATTAAACCTATTTGAGCCACAGAAGAATCCTGAAATGTTACCCTGTGACCAGCTGTTCTGATCTGAAGAATAAAGGGGTTTGAGGGGAGAAATGCTTTGATGCATATATATGATGAGGAGTCAGCAGTATGATTCAGCTCAGTTTTTACATGTATATGTATATTTTAATTTGAGAATTATTAACATTCATGATTGTTCTTTCTTCAGAGAGGGTATTTTCTCATGTAGATATTAAAATAGTTGATGATAACACTTGAACAAAACGTCCTAATTATACACATACAATCAGGATCTCTAAATTTTTTCTGTTAGTAGTCAGGACAGAGGTCTTGGGGTTATTCCAACAGTTTTCTAAAAATGCCAGTATAATAATCAGATGTTCATAATAGTCAAATACCCACTTAAGAGTTATTAAGGAGGGAGGCAAAAACAAAAGAAAAAAGATTATGTCACAGTATGAAACTTGTGACATGCCTGTCTTGCGAAAACGGTGCAGTCCTCATTTCACTTTCTCAAAAAGGATTACACAGGAAGAAGCCTGTTGGGGCATGCAAAGACAAGCTAATTTGACTAGGATTCTTTTGCTTTGAAAGAGCCAGCTGAGGGGGATGTAGTGGAGACTTGTATTTTAAAAAATTCAGTGTCATGAAGAGAGTGAACTAAGAACAGTTACGGCATCAGTTCTGCATTGACATGCCTTCAGGGTTCTGTAAAACTGAACCACGTGTCACTTTCAGCCTTCTGCTCTCCCAACTGAAGTGTCCCATAATTTTCAGTTTCTCCTCACAAGGCAGCTGGTCCATCCCTCTCATAGTAGTTGCCTTCCTTTGTGCCTTGTCTTACTTCATATGCAAATACCAGAACCACACACAATGCTCAAGATGAGGATGCATCAGAGTTTCATACAGCAGCAAAATTACGCCCTCTGTCCTGTTGTTTCGACGTTTCCTGGCCATCAACAGTGTTTTGCTTGCTTTTTGGCTGTGACTGTGATTTCAGATATGGTTCCATACTACGGACTATTTTAAGTAAGTGAGGATGTTATGTTAATAATTAAGCCCAGCACTTACTAAATGTCGTCTTCCTCTCATGGCTGTTCATTTCTGTTACTTCTGTTCCATTTAGCCATCTTGCCAATACAGGGCAAATCAATTCACTGATGCGACAGAAAACTAATTCACCACCCAATTCACCAGTCAAAAAGGGGGTTCAACGCACCTTGGAACTATACTGGTTGCTTACTAGATCCCAGCACTAGCCTGGTACAAACGTTGTGTGGCCAGTTGTGTAAAGTATAACAAGAAACCATCCTCTAAGCTGGGGTGTTCCTATCCCTTAAAAGAAAGAGAGAGCATAAAATTATCTTGTAGGCTTTACTCTGTGGTCTCAGTACTTCTAACATGTTTCTGAACTTTAACAGTTTATTACAGGTACGTTAAGTATATTAGAGACCTGGTTAACCTTTTTTTCTCTTGGTGAGGTTGTTTTCAAAATGCAAGATACCAGCAGAAGAGTACTGCTTTGTATTAAAACGCATTTGTGCCTACTTTGCTTCTGTTTAGGTGAAAATGCCAGATGTAGAATTTTTTGTTAATTTGGGGGACTGGCCTCTGGAGAAAAAGAAGTCCGCACAGAACCTGCACCCCATCTTCTCATGGTGTGGGTCCAGTGAATCAAGAGACATTGTTATGCCAACATATGACTTAACAGACTCCGTTTTGGAGACTATGGGACGGTAAGAAACTGCTTAAAATTTTCACAAAACTCACAGTGAATGATCTTCCAAAAACATATTTGTCTTAGCAGTATATTAACTGCTTTACTCTTCATTTATTCATTGAAACATTGGCACCCAATAGGTATGCAGCAACTGCTAATCAATATCTTAGCATTAACCAAGTTATGTATTATACAACATAAATTACATGTATAAAAATACTTCACTGTTTCATTACAAAAATCAGAATTAATCTAAACATGGTGAAGCCACTGAAAACAGCACATAAAGTGAATGCTTTGAGGGTAGGTATTTTGTTTGCTTGCTTTGTTTCTGCTGCCCCCCCCCTCACCTTAACATGTTGACAACTGGCCAGGTCTCTTTTTTTCCTGATTTTCCTAGAATCTTTTTTCTGTACCTTTTAAAGCCCAGCGTAGCCAGAACTCAACCCTAGGACCTGTCATCTCCCACTTTGATTACTGATGATAACTGGCCTTCATAACCGCTCTGCCGTTGTCTTGAAACACTACAAAGCCAGCTTCTAAGAGATCTCTGTTATCTACTTTGAACCTGCTTATCATTTCACTCCATTCAGTTCAGGTTCCTAGTCTTTATTATCAAGACTTTTCCTAAATTTGCTCTCCCTCCTGCCCCCCCCAATTTAGGTGTTTTAATTTAGTAAAGGAAGTGAAATATGTTGTATTAAGCTAGTTACATAAAAACCTTGCTTTGGACTATAATGGACTAAAACTGACTGCCTCATCACCATTATCAGCTATTGCATTACCTTGTCTCACCTCCATCTGTCTGGCAGCCATACCCACTTTTAGATACTTTTTTTCCCTGACAGCTGACAGGAACTCTTTCCACACACCATGTTGTTGTTGAACTGATGCTGTCTTGCCACAGGCCTGTGAACTTGATGTTCCTTATCTGTTTTTATTGCTGCAAAAACACTGATACAGTACACAGAATCAGAACAGTTTGGTTGGAAAAGACCATTACGATCATCTAGTCCAACTGTAAACCTGATGTTGCCAAGTTCACCACTAAAGCATGTCCCCAAGTACCACACCTACACGTCCTTTAAATACCTCCAGGGATGGCGACTCCACCGCTTCCCTGGGCAGCCTGTTCCAATACTTGACAACCCTTTTCAGTGAAGAATTTTTTCCCAATATCCAACCTAAACCTCCCCTGGTGCAACTTAAGGCCATTCCCTCTTGTCCTGTCACTTGTTATTTGGGAGAAGAGACAAACACCCCACCTCACTACACCCTCCTTTCAGGTAGTTGTAGAGAGCCAGGTCTCCCCCTCAGCCTCCTCTTCTCCAGACTAAACAATCCCAGGTGTGCTCACAACTTACCTTCGTGCTTGGTATTTGCCTATTGCTACTGTAAACTCTTTTAAGTAATTGCACTTAATAAAATTTCCAGTAGGCTTCACTATTAAATCACTTCTTTCTCCTCCAGAGTCAGTCTGGATATGATGTCAGTTCAAGCAAATACCGGCCCGTCATGGGAAGAGAAGAACACCACGGCATTCTGGAGAGGACGTGACAGCCGCAAAGAGAGGCTTGAGCTTGTAAAACTGAGCAGAAAATACCCAGAGATCATAGATGCTGCTTTCACAAACTTTTTTTTTTTTAAACATGATGAAAGCCTCTATGGCCCCATTGTTAAGCACATTTCATTTTTTGATTTTTTTAAGGTAAGCCACTAAGGTTTTTTAATAGAAATAGGTTCTCCACGTTTCCCATTATCAAGCAACTTTGTATCTATTCCTGATAATGAAGTGATTTTTAGCTTTTCAGCACAATGCCAGCAACAAGCGTGAATGGGCATCTCTCCAGTGGGATTAACTGCTATGTAGCTCTTAAACTGACAATAATAATGTTTGATTTACATCTAAAGGTTCTGTAGAACCTCGTGTAATCTATGTAACTCCAAGTTCCTTTTTATTTCTTTTTTCCTGATTCAGCTATCAGGACTACTAACATAACTAACATAGTGGGAAAATCAGTGGATGAAATGGCACATCTACCCTCACATCCGAGGATGAGCGTCTAAGAATCTGGAGAACTTAATTGATGAAGAGGGCATCTCTGTGTACCCTGCACTGTGATGAATTCCAAACTCAGTAATAAAAGCCACTTAAACACTGATGCTTGCCTAGCCAATCCTACATTTCTAATATCAGCAAGTCAGTGATACCAGTGCCCTCGGAATAATAGAACCTCACCAAGCTGCTTGGATCTTCTGTTTGTTAGTAACTTGTGGTCATTTTCTTTCCAGTATAAGTATCAAATTAATATTGATGGCACAGTGGCAGCATACAGATTGCCTTATCTACTAGCAGGAAACAGTGTGGTGCTAAAGCAAGACTCCATCTACTATGAGCATTTTTATAATGAGCTGCAGCCATGGAAGCATTATATTCCATTTAAAAGTGACCTGAGTGATCTACTGGAAAAACTACAGTGGGCAAAAGAGCATGATGAAGAGGTGGGTATACATTTGGAAGTACTAGGAGGCAATGTTTCTAGACAAAATAGAGCAAAAAGTACATTTATTTAAAACAAAAATATTTATTAAAGGACTTAAAAATTATTGTTGTTAACTCTACAAATAAGAAAATCGCTTTTTAAAAAAATAAATAATTCTTGCCCTTAACTTGAAATTAAATTGAACTTTGGAAACATTAAGAATATTTTCATAAGAATGCCTTACTTTCAAAATTAAGAATGCTTAAATAATAAGTAAGTTATCCTAAACTGTCAACACTGTGCTTAACTCCAGAATCAATACTAAAATAACTACTATTTTTTGAGAATTTTAAATAAAACTTTTATTTTCTTTGACAGGCAAAAAATATTGCAAAATCTGGACAAGAATTTGCAAGAAACAATCTCATGGGAGATCACATTTTTTGTTACTATTTCAAACTTTTCCAGGTCAGTATATTTTTAACAGATACTACCATAAAAATAGAAATACCACAGAAAGAATTCAGGGCAACAGAGCTGCTGGAAATGGGCCAGTACAGCACTTGAAGCCACAAAGCGAGTAGCAGCAATTAAGAACTTTGTTAGGTTTACAAACAGTACACGCAGTTATTGCTGATGAGACCCCTTAAGACCACGCTGGTGGTTTGAGCAGCAGTCAGATCCCATAAATCTTGATCTAATCTGCACGAATATGTTCCCCACAACAGTCAACGAATTCCACATCAGACACGCGCTCTGTGAACCACAGCTGAAAATATCTGTGCATTAGCACCCAGATACTGAAACTCCAGGGAGGCACCCAAAGGGGCTCCTGTCTGCACTCAGGGATCTGCTGACCCTGTCTGTGACACTGTGTGGAGTAACAGACTGTGTAGCCCCAGAGTTTTTACAGAATTACTCAGCTGAGTTGGTGCAGCATTGACAGACAGATGTACTATCCAGCAAGTTTATGGATTAACAATACCTTTCTTTTTTAAAACCAGGAATATGCCAGCTTGCAAGTGAGTGAGCCAAAAATCAGAGATGGGATGGAGAAAGTGCAGCAGCCTGATGATGACCTTTTTCCATGTACTTGCCACAGAAAAAAGGTACAGTACCTACAGCGTTAAACGTAAAGTGCTGGAGGTCTTCAGTTCTTCACCAGATTCAAGCTCAGTAGCCCCTGGTATCTGTTACCAGACCATTAATGCCTCTTGACATTGGAAACGTTTCTTCATACAGGTGCAGAACAAGACAGTTACAAATTGAGTTTCCAATTAACTGAAAAATGTTTCTTCTTTCTTGACTACAGGCCAAAGATGAACTCTGACAGCAAGAAATAAAATCGTTTTTTTATATTTACCTACATTCAGAATGACTTCTTAAGGAAAGAAGAAAAATTTGGATTAAAACGACAATGGATACATCAATGGATATTATGAAGTTTACTGGATCATGATCTGCATATGCAAGAAAAACAAGCACCCCCTCTTTCCTTTTTATCATGTAGTAGTTGCCCTGAATTCTTTCTGTGGTAGTTCAAAAACACTTTTTTTTTTTTTTTTTTAAATAAAAACCTTGTTTGTATGAGCCACGTGTTACTGGCCTGAGGCCTTGGAACAGCAGATACTTTCTTATTCATGTGTGTTACACCGAGTCTATTCACAAGTCTGTTCTGCAAGAAAGGTCAGATAAAAATGGTAAATCTGCTCCCCTGTCCCTTTTCAGATTGTAACTTTGTTCCTTGGGAGAGAACCAGTATCCTCAAAGACAATGATGGGGGGTTTATAACTTGTCTTTAGGAATGTCAGATAAAAGTTTTAAGTTCCATATGATTTTTACAGATGCTTTGTCTGTGAAAGTCAGTCTCCTTGGCACTATGAAAAGAATGTAAGTAGCACTGAACAGTGACTACTGGCACTAAACCAGTCATTCCTTCAGGCGCCAATTCTGTTTTTAAAATACCTGCTTTCCACTGATACCAAGTAATTTGTTACTTTTGAGCATATCCACATCACCTGAAAATGATCTGTACATGGATTTAAAGTCAATCTGAATTAATCAAATTCTAACACATGGTTCCAGTCCAAAGTGAGGATTTATTTTCTCTTTAACACAGCCAGTCAATTTAAAATCCATATAGCTATTTTCTTAGCAAACATGTAGATGTGTGCTCTGCTTGTTGAACAACATTACTTCTGGGAAATCAGCATTCTTGAGGCGTCTTTCAGAAACAAGAGAAGACGACTGTATCTGATTAATATTTTTAACTTTCACCGGCCTAGTATTTTTACTAAAGTAAAAGCAAGCCTAAGGAATAGTTTGATCACATGATAAACAATGTATGTTCTAATTTAACTATATTAACCTACAGGCTTGAATTATTTTTTTATTATTTTGTATTTATTTATTTATACAATATAGCACAAAAATTAACCTATGCAATCTAAGCACTTGACCAAAACATCCTAAAAATCCTCTGAGCTCACCATGGCTGACTCAGTGTATGTTTGAGCAGCCCTGCACTGCCACACACAACAGCTCCTCCCAAGAACCACTTCTGGGCTAAAGCTGCCTCTGACCTTCAGCAGTACAAACAGAATTTGTCTTCTTATCAGTTTTTACTTCACAGTCTTCCCTGCCCATCTCTCCACATGGCCTCTGTGATCAGTCCTTTACACAAAGGAAGTTACTGGAGGGTGACTTCAAAACTGTGACCCATGTTCTTTGCTTCTCATGCACGAGTGTGCCTGCTTTACCTCCTCCTCCTCCCCAGACGGGCCAGTAATCTGGCTCCTTAGGGTAGTGACACTGTAAATGACGAGCGATTCTTCTCCCTGCATCACAGCTTTGGAGCACACAGGAGCACCAGGATATGGCACCACAGCAAAGCAGTGCAACCCACGCTGGCCAGACTCGGGCAACGTGCTCACAGAAGTCTACAAATCAGTAGGTTTTAATTTCCAACAAATACAGCATCAGCACTATACTCAGAAAGGAAATGCAGATAAAGATTTGCTGTCACAATTGATTCTTCCCAGTATATTACTTCAAATATCAAAAGCATTTACTTGTTAATGCAGAGTGCTGAGTGTTATTTACATGTACATATACAGTTATTTGCAAAGAAACACAGAAAACAACCCTGCCACGGTATTAAATATTAGGTAAATTTCTGTCCTTCCTGTGATAGTTTCACTGGGCCAGCCCTTGACCAGCAGACAACACAGCAGTTCCTTCCCCCCCACCTCCAGGGGATAGGATTGGGGAGCAAGGATAAGGAGGCTTGTAGGTTGAGATAAGAACAGTTTAATAATAGAGAGAAAACTTAAAGTAATACTAATATTAAAATAGTAGTGATAATGATAACAGTAACAAAATATGCAAATGAGTGATACCCAGTGCAACTGCTCACCACCCACTGACCGAGCCCGGCCTGTTCCCAGATAACGATCCCGGAGGAGCGACAATCCCTAACCGAAACCGCAGTCCCGGCAGAGCGAGAGCCCGAGCGAAAGCCAGAGAGGCTAAAAGAGGAAGAGACCCTCACTGGGTCTCTAATATACTGGACATGACATGATATGATATGGAATATCTCATTGGCATATCTAACTGTCAATTAAGTTTATTAATTTAAATATTCTTCTCCCCCCTTAAATCTTGTGCTTGGGGACTAACGGAACACAAAGTCCTTCGCTTCCAGTGACAAAAATGTAAACACTGGTGTGTTATCAGTGTCTCTCTCACAGCCAGTGCCAGACTGGAAACTAAAACACCACTCTTCTAATTACTAAAAAGAAAACCAGCTCTATTTCAGCTAAAAAACAGGACATTCCTTAAATTTTTTGTTGTTTTGCATATTTTTAATTCACACAAAAATGCTTTATTTGCATTTACACAGACCTCTGAAAAATATCTGGTTTAAAAAAATATGTTTTCTCAGAAATAACAAACTAATTGGCTGCATTTAGGAAAATGCTAAATGAAGATACTGCAAATCATTTGTGCTCCAGGTCAATTATCTCTCTAAGCCAAGAAAAAACTTGCACATTTATTTCTTCCATGACATCATCTGTTGCTCGTCCTCTGACTGCCATCCCATGGTTTGCTTTATCAATCCAATGGATTTTTTTAGGGGCTTTCATTTTACTTGCCACACCTTCCAGCAATTGCTACGGAAAGAATGAAGAAATTAGAGAATCAGCTGCTACAAACCACGCAACTCCTACATGTGTCTCGCTTTGCTTGTGCAACATGTAATAGGCAGCTTTTAAAATGGATCTGCATGCACATCAAAAACAGCTTGACAGAAAAGATGTGATGATACTGTGTTCAGTAATGGAATTTGCTCAAAGGTTCACCCTCACCCAAACAGAACAGCAGAAAATTAGAACTTCAGAACTGCAAAGGTCACAACGCTGTGCAGGCTCCTTCCCCACACTGACAAAGGAATCCTCTTTCACTGCCAGAGGGTAGTACCAGCAATAAAGTGGCAGAACTTCTTACATCAGATTTGTCTGCAGCGGCAGAGTAGCAGTGTAATTCTCCAGAGACTGGCTTCGACTCTGCTCAACTTTCTCAGCAAACAGATTTAAAACCAGTGCAGAAAGCCTTAATGATTTCCCCATTAACAGGGCACTCCAAAGACCTGCTGGTTGCTAACATGACTTGGTGACAGCTCCTCACAAAAGCATCACGACTCCTTAGAAACTGTCCAAGCATGGAAAATGCCAATTGCACACAGTCCCAAATTCAAGCTGAACTGTTCAAGAACAACAGATACCTATTTGCAAGAAAACAAGGCAGAAAAGGTGTTTTTTTACCTGCTCTGGCAGGGGGGTTGGACTAGCTGATCTCCTGAGGTCCCTTCCAACCCCTACCATTCTCTGATTCTGTGAAAAACAGTATTCTCATCTCTGCACACTTGTTCTTCATCTCTACAAAAATACTGCTTTCTACCATAGAAGTCTGACTTATGGGTAGAACTGCTTTACTAGAATGTGTCATGAAAATGTGGCAAATGCAGACCAGCACCACAGCACAGTGTTTATGTTTTGTAACCTGAAATGGTTAAAACAGAATAGCAGGTAACTCACTCCTTCCACAGGCCACTTTTAATTTGTACAATCTTATCCCATCAAAAAGAAAACATTTAAGTGGTATTTGGTATTTTAGTATCAGTATTCCAGTGGCCCAAAGATGAGTTTGCTCAAATGGATGTTCAAGCATGATCCAGAAGTTTTAAGCAGCAAAAGAAAGCACCCCCAGGCTTCCTTATGTCCGATGAAGTTCCCTACCCAAGGCTCCCTTCAGAAGACAGATATGTATTTAGAGAGGTGGTTAATCAAAGTCACAGCTGTGTGGACCAGTACAGACATCACTCAGACTCATTCCTGTTCCTCCATACTGCCCCTCACTGCAGGATTTACAAGGTTACTCACTTTTTCACACATCTCATCTGCTGATCCTGAGACAAACAGCACTGGACACCTGATAAACAATAAATCTTCATCCCGGAGCTTGGACTGAAGTTTTGGTCGATGCAATGGGTAAGATAAACATACTAGACCTTGAATGAAGTCATCATCATCCTCCTGGCTGAGATGACGTATCACAGAGGCAGCAGCTCGTGAGCCCATGGAACGGCCTTTCTCCCATGTTAAAATAAAGGAAAAAAGGGTATCTGTTGTTACCTCATCTACATTCTGTTCGAGTAAACAACTCCTAAAAACAATCCATCTGAGTGCATTTCAGCATACCAGTAGTACAAGATGCTAGGGATGCTTTTATTCATCCACTCCATGAAAAATATGAATCCTGATTTCAACATTTTTTGCTAAAATATTTGTCTGGTTATAGTATGTTTTCATATCCCCATTTAAAAAATGGCAGGGAAAAAAAAATACAATAAATAGAGAACAACAGCCCATCCTGAGGGTAGGAGCAAGAGAGGGACTGGCCCTATGCTCCGGATCCTTGAAATTCCAGACAGCAATGCTATTATCTCATATCATTTTTTTCAGGCAACCTTAATCTGCTCAAATTAAAAAAAAAAGTTTTATGTGCCTTACTCTCAAAACAAATCCAGCAAGTGTTTATGCACACCTCATACTTCAGCCTAAGAGTAAAAGTAGAAGGGGAAAGGAAAAAAAAACCCAACATGAACTTACAGCATGAAATCAGTCAGTAACAGCACGGGGCTATCAAGTATCTCCTCAAAGAAGGGGCATATGAGCTGACAATGCTCTGTAATTGAGTGTCTGATTCCAGCGGGATTAACTTGCATCAGCACAGATTTGGTTTCTCTTAAATCAGAGAACATTCAGCATT